TCTTAAACCCCGTGTCAAACTCCAGGCACACGGGCCAAACATGGTCCACCACAGCATTAATACGGCCCATGAGAAGTATAAATATATACCATTCTGACACACTATTAGCTTGTACACAACCCATCACAGCTGCACGCTGTTAGAAAATATATTTTTGGAGAAGTCACCTCCCAATAAATGTCATTTTGGAAAATCTAACTGCTCACTTTTACTCAGTACTTTTACTATTAATACTTAAGTAGATTTTGTGTCAGAAATTTACTTTTGATACTTAAGTACAAAAAATATCAGATACTTTAAGACTTTTACTTAATGTTTTTAGAGAAGACTAACTTTTACCAAAGTATTTTTATGATAAGATACTTGTACTTTTTACTCAAGTATCACTTTTAGGACCATTATATAACAACTGACAGTGGAAACTTGAATTAGCCTTAGGCTATACCTGGTGCTATGCATCAAATGTTTTTATGTTTATGTTTAATTGCACATTGTTCCGACTAAATAAATTCATTCATTCAAAGAAAAAATTAAAAAAACATCTTTCAAAGTGTAAAAGAGCACAGAAAGTTGGACTTAATGTGACTGAACAGGCTTTTTAATGTCTTTTTTTGGCTTTTGCACTGTTGCTGATTTATAATTTAATCCAAGTCTTTACAACAACGACTGCACTTTTGTCTGCCTGACTTATCAAAAGCAGTAAGTTTGACCTAACCATGAAGAGTTCACAGTAATGTGCAGCTGGCACCTTCCTGTCTTGAAGTATGACTTAAATTAATATTTCTATCCATAAATACAGGTGCTTACATCCATATTAACTGAGCTACAGCTGCCCAGGTTCTTCTAACTGAATCATGGCTTTTTCAAACCCAAACTAGTCTTTCCAACCAATCCTGTTTTTAATAAATTACACCCACAAAACTCACACTGACCAATCATGGACAAAGTCCTCCCACACAACAACAAACACCCACTTAATGACTGCAGAGACCCCTCTACATTTCTTCAAATTTGTGCAACGATCTTTTTCTCTAAATACTCCTAGAGCTGTAGAAAKCATCTTAAGCTCAGCTCATGTTACAACCCTAACACTAACAAAGATCTGCAAATCTCATAAATTCTTATTTTATTAACAATAGAGCACAGAAACACATCTCTATTATAAACCCAGTTCTTCCTTTCAGGGTCACTGGTGCCCAGCAGTCAGTGTGTGAGAGGAGGGGTCCACCCTGGACATGTCTCCAGTCCATCACAGGGACACATCTGCTCCACCAAACCCACCCTGAAACACCACGCCAACATCAAATGTTCAAAATAAAACATTGAACCACATTGAAGAGAAACTATTGTTTGTTTGTTTTTTATTTAAAACAGGTCTGGACAAATTATTGTCCATAAACACATCTGTTAGTTATAACTACTTTAAAAAGCTTGCAAACCGATTGCACGCAGTATTTATTCACTAGTTCAGTGTACTCAAAGTGCAATCGGTTTACTGGCTTTTTTCAAGGGGAAATATCATGTAAACTCAACTTTTTTGAGTTTTATATCATGTTATAATGTTATACTCTGATAAAAACATGTCCAAAGCCTTGCTCTG